ATCGCCTGAAGAAGACTAGCAGTAAGCAGTCGAAACGTCGCGATCTACATCTCAAGTGACTACATCGTGAGACAAACGATAATACACTTTATTATTACGATTCTTCTTGTTTTTTTGTTTTTGTTTTTGTTTTCACATGACTGATGAATGGAGTTGGTTGCGATGATCATAACTAGAACTTCGGCCTCCGCTCATTCCAGTTATATCGCTGACATTCATCCAAAAGAAATCCAGAGAATCAAAAGCTAGCAACCATTCCAATTTTGAAAGATGAAGTCGTTATTAAAAATCCCAACTGGCACAAGTTAGCTATTCAATTTTTTTTGTCAAAGTTACGTAGTGTGAAAATAGATTTCACAGACCCCCTCGCCGCAGCCGGAAGCATGTAAATACTCAAAAGTTCGCTAGAAATAAATAGAAGTGATGGTTCAAAGTATATTAGAAAATGTGTGTAATTGAACCCAGCATTCAGTCAGGTAAGGCAATGATGCAAACTAATAACATGAACTGGTGATAGGAAAATTGTTTTATCTCTATAAGCTATCTTAGTTGTCGTAAAACCACTTATGGCTACCTGATATTTGGACAAATAATTCTCACCTTTGAAGGTTTATCAGTGATAAGCCTTCAAAGGTTCAAATTCTTCGGTAGTGAGAATTATTGGTCCAAATCAAAAAATTTTTATAAGTTTATTGCAAGTTTATGAATACATATACAGCAGCGCTTAAACGGTTGCTTAAACTTTTGTTTAAACTGTTCAGTAGAGTCTGTATTATCAAGTTTTGGGAGAAATTTGTTTTTCAGCAGGCCCCACTTAAAGTAGAACTTTGGATTAAGGTGGCTCAAAACAGTTTCCAGCACTTAGATTTTGATGGGTCATTATAACCACTCTTTATCAGTTGATGCTACAATCATGGTATCCAAAAACTGCCCAATCATTGGTATTTTCGAGACACAATAGGTTACCATAGCAATAGTATGACCTGCTAAAAACACCCTTATTTTCAGCTTAAGGGGCTTATAATTTAAAAACGGCACGAGGAAATTTTTGTTATTTATCAAATTTTAATAAGCATGATAACACGCAACTTTTGGCAAAGTTTAAAAAAAATCTGTACATAGGGTTCAGAGCTACCTTAACCATTTCAAATTTTAAAGTGGCTCTGAACCTGATTGTAGCATCAACTGATAAAGAATGGTTATAAGGGACCGTTCATTTTTTATATGGTCGGGGGGGCTGGTGGGATTTGGGGGGGGCCATGCGAAAAAAAATGGCTTTCGAGGGGGGGCCATCCCAAAA